GGCAGAAGGTTAGGTTCTGATTTCTCTTGTTCCACTGTTGTTTTTCTTGAAAAATGTGCTAACCAGTGTGCTGCTTTCTTGTGCCTGATTTCTACAAAGCTACAAATTCATTTTTTAATGCTTTTTATTTGATCTTTCTCTGATCACAGATCCAAAGAAAGACATGTTTTTAGAAACCAAAGCAAAGCATTGTCCATCTTTTCCCCTCTGACCTGTATGCATTTTGCATTTTTTTGTTTACACCAAAGAAATCATGTATTTTCTCCAAATCTACATAAATATCTACCAATGTTATGAGCACCCTGGTGTTATACAATTTTATTTCATTATTGACTAGGAGTAGGCTAAGTTATTATGTTTCTGTTAAATTTTTTTTGAGACCAACTCTCATTGTGTAGTACAGACTGGCCTTGAACTGACTTATGTAACCCAGGATGGCCTCAAACTCATGGCGATCCCAGTGCTTCAGCCTCCTGAAGTGCTGGGGTTACAGGCATGCACCACCATCCCTGCTCTGTGCTAACCTTTTGCTCCCACTAGAAACCAATGTAAAAGCAGACAGTGGTATAGGAACCGACAATAACTACAACTTATGAAATACCTTCCACATGCAGGTGCCATGCCATGCGACACGACCCCGGATGCCTGACATGACTTTATCTAATCCTTGTATCCCTGCTAGCTAGGTGCTTTTATGACCCCGTTTTATACATGAGAAGACAGACTTGCTGAACAGTTCCTTGTGATGCTGCAGGAGTCAGTCTTCTCTGATGAATTACAGTGGTAGAGTTGCAGTCGTCCTGGAGTTTCAGGATATTTTCCCCAGCTTCAAACCCTTGTCTGGGGACCAGACACTGCAAGGCTCAATTGTAGAGCATTAGACATGTTATGGGGCTGCTGGCATGATCTCAAAGATGGCAGGTAGAAGCATCTGCAAACACTGCAGATAGAAGGATAGTCAGGAGATAATGCTGTTCCCATTATTTGTGACTTGTAACAAACCACCCTAAAATGTGGTGGCTTACGCCGTAAGCCCTGTTTACTGCCCCCAATTCTGTGGCCAGGGCTTGGAGCACAGCTCAGCTGGGCCATATCAGTTGGTTCCACGAGGGTCACACACAGGCTGGACCAGGCCTCTCTGGCACACTGGAGGCCTTGGGCTGGCGCCACTCTGTCTCATTCAATGGGGCCTGGGTGGTCACATTGAGGGGAACCGATTCCACTTTTGGATTCAAGAATGGCCTGTGCGTGACCATCTTTGCAGACAATCTACTTGTTGGTGGCAGATATCCAAGCATTAAATAGCTAATGCTATAGAAAAAGCCCTCTGTGGCCACTTTCCTGGAAGGGAAAGCAGTCCCTTCTGCTGCTCTAATCCTTTCAGCTCTAACAAGGAAATGTGGAAGGCAGGTGTCTTAGAGGGCTGGGGCTGGGGGCCTTGTCTGCCTGTGGGGTCTCTGTACCTGCACAGTTGGAGGACTGAGTGCATATTCTCTCTGCTAAGACAGAACACTGGGCAAAGGGAAGGGGCAGAGGAGTCCATGCTGCCAAGGACACGGGCAATGTGCCCAAGGATGCTGCCGAGCTGCCAAGGTAGGAAAAAGAAGCTATCTCCATTAGCTGGATGTGATCGGCTCAATGTGTCATGAACAAAAACCAGATGGATGGTCTCACCCAGACCAAAGTAGTAAGAAACTAGAGAAATGGTGGCTCTAACTAGCAGCACATTAATAATCATCCAGTAAAGCTTATCCTCCCAGCTGAGCAAGCAGCAAATGTAAACTCAAGGTCGAAGGTAGGCATGTATTTCTGGGGGAGGAAATAAACTATTCTGACCAAATGAAGAATAATTCAAATTTGCAGACTATTAGAAGCAGAGTGAGCCTACGAGGTCATCTTTAGCCCAACAGGCCAGACCCCATTGTATGCACAAGAAGACTGAAGCCCAGAGCAGTGAGCCTCGATGAGGTGCACCAGGAAGCTGGATTGGGTCCAGGGCACAAAAAGCTCCAAACAGTGAGGGCTTGCAGTGCTCCTGTCCTGTGTGCAGTGCCGCAGGGAAGGGTGGGGTACTCAGAGCGCTGTCTCAGCCCCAGGTCTCTGGCATGACATCTGTGTGGAAGACAGCTTGTTTAAATAAAGAGTCTTGAGGGGAGACAGCTCAGCAGCATAAGCGCCTGCTTAGCAAGCATAAGGTCCTGAGTTCAACACCCAGTACCATAAAAAAAAAAAAAAAAAAAAAAAGGAGTCCTGAGAGTCCTCCCTGCGGTTCAGAAGAATGCCCATCCTTGGGGACATTAGCCTGAGACAATCCGCTATGTCTGAGATCAAGGCTGACCGGAACTGAGCACTCTCTCACATCTCTGGGATACAAACTCACCGCAGCTGCTGCCACAGCCCTGAGGGAGGTCTTGAGTTTCCATGGCCTCTAGGCTGCAAGACGGAACTTATTCTCGCTGGAGCCAGACCTAGAAAGGACTCCACAACCAGGCTGCATGGTCGACCCTCAAGCAGGGCACCCGAGTGTCTAGAAAAGGTGTTCGGCTCTGCCGGGAACCTAAAGAGAGGACACCACCAAGTCTCTGTCCAATGGGAAGGACACAGACAAACACCCAGCGGGAACATGCCATCCGAAGAGGCTTTTCAAGACTGTCTTGTTCTGTCCTCCCCCCACTCTGGGTGTCAGCAATGAAATGACTCCATTTTACAGCTGCAGACCTGAGGCTCAGAGAGCAATGCCACCGCACCTAAGGTCACATGGCTAGCAAAGGGCAGGGTGTGGCTCCCAGCATCAGGTCACAGGTTTCTGAGGGGAAATGGTCCCAAGGAAGGAGGCTGGCACACGGTCCCCTTGCAGCCCCAGCTCTCCTCTGCCTGTCTCCAGGTCCTGACAGCTCTCTGGCCTGTGGCTTGACCGGATTCCTCCTGCCCCTGAGGCCCAAGCAGGGGCCTGCTCTTCCTGGCCTTCCTGTCCCCTCCCTTTGGCGCCACCCCCAGAAAGCTAAACTGTCCCGTTCGGGGTGATCTTTGCCAAGCACCACTGCCACCAGGTGCCTTCAGGACACCCTCACCCACACGCAGAAACCTGCCCGCTCCGTCTTACACACAGACAAGTGTTCTCTTTCACCACCCTGGATCGCAGAGAGGGGACCTCACAGGGTACAGGGGGTGCGGAGATGGGACCCTCAGGCCAGCGCAGGGCACCACAGGCTCTGCTCACAGACACAGGCTCACCGACCAACTCTGCCCTGCCCATCCGAGTCTGCTCTGTAACCAGCTCCCCCTGGAACGGGGAGGTGCAAATTCCGTTACAGGTTGGGAACCCAGGCTGGCCTGGGAGGCTCCCACCCTGGCTGGAGAACGCAGGCCCCCGGGAACTTTGGCGAAATGCTCGTTCCGCGGCACCTCGGAAGTCGCTGGCAGGAGTGGGGAGGCCAGCCGCGAGGCCCAGGCAGGCGGTTCAGAGCGTGCGGAAGCCTTCGGAGAGGCGGGAGACAGTGACGGGTCAGCAGCCCGGGATCTTCCGCAAAACGCAGCGGGGCAGACGTGGACCTAGGCAGGTGCCAGGGCACCGGGGAGGGGAGGGGAGGGGAAGGGTTGGGTGCGGGCGGTGCGCGCAGGCGCAGAGGCGTGGGAGCGCCGGGCGGGGGCAGGGGGAGGGGAGGAAGGGCGGGGACGGGTGAGTCACCGCGCGCGGGGGTGGGGCGGCCCGGAGCCCGGGAGAGGAGGGGGGACGCTTGGAGGGGGAAGGCTAGAAGGGAGGGAGCGTTGGGGGCTGAAAGGAGGTGGCTGGGAGGATGGTGGGAGTGGGCTGGGGGAGCGGTAAGAGGAGAGGACAGGAGCGGAGAGGCGGGGCCGAGTGGCCCCCGGGGCGCGGCTGTCGGGAGCCGCTGGGGCTGCCCGCCTGAGCTGAGTCACAGAGGGTGTGTAGCCACAGGGCCCCTCCCGGAAGGAGGCCCGCTTTCCCAGGATGGCCTGTGGGTGCCAGGTGAGCCCAGGAGGAAGGTCGCCGCGGGAGGCTGCGGACCTTAGCCGGCAGGGAGGGGCAAAGCGTGGCGCGGATGCCCCCCGCAGCCGCAGTCCAGGCTCCCAGAGATAAACTGGAGTCACTGTGGGAACGTGGATGCACCCTGAGGCCACAGTGCCGAGTGACACACATCCAACGCGCAAGCTTAATGTTGTGTGGCGCTCTTCCGTGAGAAAACTCAAAATATAAATAAAAGGCAAAACAGAAGAGACTAGAAAGTAGGGAAGCAGATTTTGTGCCAAGGGGCAGGGGGTGGAGGGCTGCTGGGAGGGAGAGAGGGAATGCCAAAGAACTGAGGAGAGTTGTGTGGGCAGGGAGCACCGTCCTTGCCTAGTGCACACAGGTCCTAATAAAAAGTGAAAACTGGGAAACCAGCAAACCACCAGAAGCAGACCTGGGTGGCTCACGAAAGTGTGTTTATCAGGGCTCCCACCCACAGGAAAGCCCAGGGCCGCTATTTCTAGAATGACGTACAGCATTCCTGGCCTAGGAGCCCCGTGGCCCCAGGAAATGAGCATCCTTTAAAGACCCTCCTGCCTGCCCTGGGCCAGGTCCCAGCTTCCATGCTGGACTCATCTTTCCTAAACCTCTTTCTTTCATGATTAGGCCCCTGGGTCACTGACCACCTGAAAAGAATAGGAAGACATTTCGCAATACCAAAGTCACTGTTAAGAAAAATACTGCTGGGGCTGGGGAGATAGCTCAGTAGAATAAGCACTTGCCTGGCAAGCGCAAGGTCCTGAGTGCAATCTCAGATACTGAAAGAAGAAGAGGAAGAGGAAGAGGAAGAAGAAGAGAGAAAGAAAAGAAAAAAGTGAAATGCTGCTGCTGGGGAGACAGCTCAGTGGCCTAAGCACCTGCCTGGCAAGCGCAAGGTCCCAAGTTCGATCCCCAGTACTGCCTGCTGGGCCAGCCCCAGAACCGGTTGTGGTGGTACATGCCTGTAATCCCATTGCTGAAGAGGCTGAGACAGTAGGATCACTACGAGTCCGAACTGCATAGTGAGACCTTGTATCAAAATAAATAAATAAATAATTTTTAAAAAGAAAGAAAAGTGCTGCCACGTATCATCATTACCCCAGTTACCCAGACCCTAGAGGTAACTCTCGTGTTCATGAAAAGGTGGCAGTGCTCCAGGTGGACACGCTGGTGCCCTTGCCCACCTTCTGCTCTGGAGGCCGTGATCTCTATATCCACCTGACAATGAGTTCTAGAAGTCTGCATGGCTGCCTGTGTATCTTGACTGAAGTCCTTCTCAAAGCTGCAGAAGGACAAGGTTGTTTGTGAGGGCTCAGAGTCAGGACTGGCTGCCCCAGGACCCTCAGCACGGAGGGAAGCACACAGCAAAGCAGCAGCTGCTTTTCCCCAGGAGGGGCTTGGGCTTTCGGACTCCTGTGCGGCACCTGAGCCAGAGCTCCAAGGAAGACCAGGAGATGGGAGAGCAGGTCTGGGAGGTCCCAGGATCGCTCTGTGTCTCACCACACAGGCCCCAGGGGCGAGGTGAAGATGGAGCTGGCCCCGGGCTAGACCTACCCTAACAACTTTCACCAAGAAGCTTCTGAGGCCTTTTTTGTGCTGCTGAGGTGTTGAACACCACTAGAAACAAGCAGCACTTGCTCATGCCCATAGGCCTTTTGGTTTTAGGGGAGTTGGGAAGGGATGGAATATGGATGGAGGATATTGTTCCCTTAGCCTGCCCATCACTAATAAACACAAACACCCAGAAGAGTGTATTATTTCTACACAGATGTCAGCTTGAATGGGATTTTTATACAAGTTCCTGCTTAAAGACTACTAGATTATCAAGAGTCTAAAGAAAAATTTTGCTGAAGAATTAGACTTAAGACAAATTTATCTCTTTGCCTGGTAAATGTCATCCTGGTAATAACCCATAATGGAAAAAAATATCACATTTCCCACAATTTGAAATATGGACACAGATGTCTCTGGATATAGAAGGCTTTGGCTTAGATCTCCAAATTTCTGCTTCCTACCTAGATGACTGTAGGCACAAATCCCCCATATCGGAGGACAAAACTGAGGGTTTCTGGGGTCTGGATTGAGGAAGTCCATCTCAGATCCCTGGTCTCGCCCTGCCCTGCCCCCACCTCACATGTCCCAGCTGGCTGTCAGACACTGGCCACGAGAGCCCTCATGAATGAGCACCCGAGCTAACATCTCTTTGCTCAGCAAGTATGTGCCCGTGTGTCAACATCAAACTTGAATTAGTTCCTGTCTTCCTTATCGCCTGCCCCCACCAGAGAACAACTATTCTTTTCATCTCCATCTTTCAGGGGAGGAAACAAGTCCAGAGGTGTTGAGAAGCTTCCCCAAGATCACACTGCAAGGGAGGGGCACAACCTGAACCTAAGACATGGCTGTCAGCTGCCAGGTCTGGTCCTGGGGCTGCCCTGAGCTGCTGATATTATGTGATCCCCTGGCTTATATAACAGGGGAAGGAGGGGGCTTTCCACTCTCTGCACCCATGACAGCAGCAACGCTGGGGCTTTTCCTTCCAGCAGCTTCCTGCCTCTGGGTGCCAAGCTCCCCTCTACTTCTTTGGGGGGAGTGCATGGATAGTCTAGCCTTTGAAACTTGGTGTTTAGGCTGGGCTGTTTAAAGGGGCCTTGGAGAGTGCTGGGTACAAGCATGTGGTCCAAGGGTGAACATAAGGGGTGGGCCCTGACGGGCTCCCTGCCAGGGCTCAGCAGCTCCCCTGGGTACCAGGAGTGGTTTGCAGGCTTTGGCTGGGCTCCCATAGGCACCCTTGGCATCCACATTGCCTGAAACCCAGCCCACAGGGTGACACCTGTTCCCATATGACTTGTGCTCCCTCACCACATCTGTCAGTGTCTTCCACAGCTGCCTTTTGCCTTCTGTCCCTAACCTGTCTGTGGTCAACCCCAGGCTGTCTTCTCCACACTAGTGCTCCAACATACTGTACCTTTATTTAGGGCTAAAGAACCTGTGCTTAGGAGGCAGTGGGGAACAAGGTCTCATTCCTGTCTTCTCTTTCCAGTTTACTGTTGCCTTGCAAAGCTCTACAGCACTTAAGCCTTCCCTTTGGCTTCCTGCTGCGGGCTGTTGTGCCCACCTCTTCAATTCATATAATGCTGTCCCCTCCTTAAAACGTGTGTTGGGAGCACAATCCTCAATGCCAGTGTTAAGGTGGGGGCCCTGGAGGGTAACCAGCCTCCTGGCACTGTCTCCCCAGTGAGTGGATGCTGGCTGTGGGGGGCCTCAAAGCTGAAAGCCTGAGCTCAACTCATTCTCCGTGTGCCTTTCTCCTTCCCTTATTTGATGGTTCAGCAAAGGGACTCTTGCCACACACAGTGGCTCGAACTTGGACTTCCAAGTCTCCAGAACTTTAAAAAGAAATCTCTGTTATTTATCAGTGGCCCCATTTGTGATATACTATTACAACAACATCAAATGGACAAAGACAAAGTCCTACCCCCTGGTGTAATGGTATTTGGGGTCTTAAAGGGTAAGGTGAAGCCCTGAGGGTGGCACCCCACTGAGCTTCCTCAGGCCCTGTGCTAGGGTCACCTGGGGTAACCCACCACTCACCCAATGGATTCCAGGTAAGGCTGTTCCTTCTGGCTGCTGGCGGGTCCGCCGGCCCCCCAGGCAGCCCTTCATCCTGGTTTTCCCCTCCTGCCTCCAGGGCCAGAGGACAGCCTGCTGTCTCCACCACCTTAGGGAGCCCCAACACCCAGCGAGTGGGTGTGTCTGTAGCCCCAGCAGACTGTGACCCCGGGCTTCACTCTCCCTTCTGGGGCTCAGCCCACACACAGAGGAGGCCTTGCCCATCCTGGAGGCTGCCCTCTCCTTGCATCTTAAAGAGGAAGAACTGATCTGAGTTTCATTTCCTCTGGGAAGAGGAGAATTAACAGAAAAACAGCCCAGAACAGACACTGGCTGCCAAGGCGGAGGAGGACAGCGAGGTAACTGATTTTTATGAAGCCTCTGATAGACACCAATGGCCTTACCCAATTACCGCAAGAAGCTACCAAGAACACCTGTGTGAAGAGGCTGGGGGAAGCCAGCCCCATTCCCCCAGACCCCCAGTGAGAAAGGAGAGCAGGGTAAACCACACTGAACTCGCTCTACCTCCAAGAAAGAAAGTGAAGGATGAACAACCCTGGGCTGACCACCAGCATCGGGACTGTCCTAATCACCTCAGTCAGGGATGACCCTTGGATACCTAGCCACTGAGATGATGCTGTCCCTCCTGGCTGTCCAGAGAGCTTTAGAGAGAATACTGATGTCTACTCTCCAGACGCCAGCCCCAGCCTCGTTCTTCCAGCACAGGCCTGGAACTCAACAAGGAGGCTGGTAAGGTTCTCAGGTGATCCTGGCATGACTCCAAGGCTGAGTGGTCCGTCTTTAGGAACCACGTTCCCCTGTATGTCAAGGGGGTTAATGGTGCTACCCAAACAGGCATCCAGGAGCAGAGGCATTGCGGCCGCGTGCCTTGCTAGGGTCTCCCTGGGGCACTCTGCAGGGGCCAGCAGGCTTCGCTCTGTGCAGCTTCTGCTCCTTGAAGCTTGGCCACCCTCACTCTGCACACTGCCAGTCTCCACAGGTGCTTGTTATCTCAACAAGCAAGGGATGAGCTGTGGTCTTCACAACAACTCAGAGAAATAAACAAAGGAGACTCTGACCTCCCGCCCCAAGAGTGAGTGGGCACCCGGGGTCAGGTCACTGTTCAGGGGCTCACTGCTGCCTATGTGGACCTACAACTGGACTTCACAAATATTTGTTTCTTCTAGCGGCTGGGGGCAATACACAGAGAAACATCTCTAAAGTGGTTATTTTACAAGGGAATTGAGATTCAAAGAAAGTGAAGGACTTATCACACAGTTCTTCACGCAAACAGTGAGGCCAGAACTTACACTTGGGGGAGAGTTGGTAGACTTTTCCATTCACCACACAGAAGCCCAGGTCCTCAGGCTCTGAGAAAACCCAGATCAAGCCCTGCTTGTAGATAAGGAGAGGCAGATACTTAGAGACAAGACCCTGGGAGGGAGAGGCTGGGCCTTTACTAAGATGTTTCAATGAAAACAAGCCTGGGAGAGAATTAAGAGATGAATAAGCAGTGTTTTATTTGTCCACAATAGAGAACCTGATAGAAGGGAATAAAGGCGAACCAGAAACATCTGACCTGTCCAGAGGGCCCTGTGGGGTAGAACCTGGTGAGCAGGCATCAGGAATGCTCCTGCCAGGCCTGGCACTGGCCCCTCTGGCTGCACGCTGCCATCCTGAATGCCCACTGACCTTCTGTCCAGTCATCAGTAATTACAGTAGGACTCAATCAGGGTCTCACTCCTTCCCGTAGACAGGCAGCCTCCTCCAGACAGGTCAGGCCACTGCCGCTTCCCAAGGTGCCCCCGCCCCATACACTCACACACAACCCGGCTGATGCCCTCACACATGGTTGTGCATCTGTGTCCCCAAGCCCGAGTGCTTCTCTCCGGCCTCCCAGTGTTCTCTGCAGTGAGGTCTGTGCCCAGCTGCCCAGCAGGCAGGCTGGCATTACCTAATTGCTGGCTGGCTCCTTTTGTCACTCCATTTTTTCAAGCTGCCTGGCTCTGAAAGTCTCCATCTCAGGCAGACAAATGAGACTCCAGCCTTGTTCTGCCCAAGCTCTGCAAAAGGGAGAGATCACAGGCTGTCGCCTCAATGAAGTGGCAGCCAGGTTTCCTGCACAAAGCGCTGGGGGCAGTGGGTGTCTTTAACCAACAACAAAGCCCGGACTGGTGCCCTACTTATGGCTGAGACTTTTCTTACCAAGCTCTGCTGTCCGCTGAGTGCTGCCTGGGGTCAGCCTTCTGCGCACTGAGACTTGATCATCAGCCAGCCTGCTGGGAGGATGAGCCCTTGTTAGAGCCAGCTCGTGGCACCCAAAAAGTCAGTCCTGCCATGGCCAGACAGATGTTTCTGGCTTCAGCAAGAAGAACCCAATCAGAGGAGGGTACTCTGCAGCAAGAGTTCACACAAGTCTTCGTGCCCAAGGGTTAGAGCTGACTGCTGACTCCTGGATGTGATTTGACTCTGCTTGGCCAGGCCAAGGGTGCCAGCCTCATCTAGCCATGTCCTGGCTGGTTGGCTGGGGGAACAGAACAGCCTGGGCCTCCTTACCAGCATGGGAGCACCCTGAGGGCAGGAGGCACGCTGCATCGGACTTGGCCTCTCTTGGCCCGGGACGTGATGGCATTCGCTGGGCTAAGCTCTGTTGCAGGCCCTGTCAGCATATTTCCCCACTCCAACCTCACCTTAGCTCCAGGATCTGTTCTTCCTGTTTTCCAGGTTGGGAAAGTGACATGGAAAGAAAAGGCTTACAAAATTCAAACTGAAGGAGTCAGAATTCGAATTTAGGCATTTGGACTCCACAATCCAGATTCTTAACCAATGTATAATGCACACTAAATAGTGATTGCATGTGCAAAAATGAATAAATGAAGCAGTCACAAAGCCTGTGATGTGAAGTCTTCCTGCCCAAGACAATTTCCTTCATTAACAGTTTCATAGAGCCGTGGGAGTGCTATTGAAATTCATTCTGTGGGTTTCTGGGACTTGCCATCTTCCAAAGCTGCCCCTGAGACATGGAGTGACAGCAGTAACTGGACACACAGAGCAGCCGTGGGATGGAGACCAGAGAGTCTAGTTGAGGCCCCCAATGGGCGAGGAGTTCTGCCCGGTACTCGAGGAAGGAGGAGAAAGAAGCAGGAGGATTTCTGTAGAGCGCACGCGCAGTCGGGACCGGCACACACCTGTTGTGAGCGCTCCCACCTCACTGGTTGCAGGGCCTGTCCCGAGGCACTCATCGACCAGGAAGATGCTCAGGCCTGCCTGGGCTTGTGCTTATGTAAGCAGCTGCAGGGAAGGTGCCTGCTGGAGTAGATGTTCCACAAGTGGCAGCTTTCATTGTTATTATACAAACTGCAGCCCAAAAATACAAGCCATCAACAATGATGACCACAACCTCATATCTTCCTGCCCTGGAAACCCTGTTTTCTGTCTCCTGGGCCCCCAGCCATGACCTCCCAAGGGCCAGCCTTGTCCTGAGTTCCTCGTCTCAGCCAGTGCTTAGCCTGCACTGATACATGCCTGCACCAACACCTTCAGATGGCCCTTCCCTGCCCCCTGTCCCCTCCTGCACTCCGCAGGTGCCTGGGAGTCCTTCCAGAGTTCCTACAGCACAGTGCAGCCCACGTCCACAGCACATCCACCTCCACCACCTGCTGTGGCTTGGGTGTGTCGCCCCCAGTCCTGTGGTGTTTGGGCCAAGGAACCTCAGAGAAGGTGTTTGCCAGGGAGGAGCAGAGTCCTCATGGATAGATCGATGTTCCAGAAGGAGTGGCCAACTTTCACCCTTGTCACATTGCAGGGACTCACAGGCCCTGACTGAGCACTGTCCCAGGAGCTTCAGACCCTCCAGCCCCGTCCTACTCACAAGGGTCTGTCTTGCTACTCCTTTTGCTAGTTCTCATTTCTCTGGTTCCCTCTGAACGTTGGGTTGCTTAGGCTCCCTTCTTGGCCCTTCTTTCCTTCTCTAGACCTCATTTCCCTCGTGGGTGCGCTTTCCCATTCTTATAGCTTTAAACGCTTTGTAGATAATAAAAATTTACATTTATATTTGGAGCCTGGTCCTCCCTGTTGAGGCCCAGGCTTAAAAATGCCACTAGTGGTTGGTGAGCTTAATGACTGTCCTGGGACTGAACCCCCAACCGCCCTATGTGGCCAATACTCAGCCCACCCCTCTTAGAACCTGCCCCCTGCCGACTCCTGCCACTGACCTCCCAAACCAGGACCTATGGTCCTAAAAGAAGCCCCCTCCTCTACACTCTGCAATTTCCAGGAACCACCCACCCCTCTAGATTGACCTCTGAGACACTCCACCTGCAGCCCTTCTCTCTAGCACTGCTGTGGTCCCAGCTGCCACCAAGCACACAGCTGCCTCTCAGTGACCACCTGTCCTCCTCCCTCCTCCAACCCATTCTCCACCCAGCAGAGCAGGGTGATGTTTCTTGGGTGCAAGTCTTACAGTGGTATTTTTCTCAGCAGAATTCCTCCTTAGCTCTCCATTCACCCTGGCAATGGTCTTCAAACTGCTTTTAATGTAACACCTCCAGGGTGTAGTGCATTAATGCAGAACCCTTCAGAGTTGGAGCTGTAGGGGAATGTCTAAAGACCCTCTCAGATGCTCAGCCTCCCCACCTTCTCTATCTAACACACACACACACACACACACACAATCCTACATCATTGTATCTACATCTGCTCCTGTCTGCCCTCCCTGTGTATACATAGATTTTACCCCGTCTCTGGCAATATTCAGCATTTCTTGTTTATATCGGAAGGACATACAGCCCACTGCATGATCCATTTCAGGATCAATTTTTGGAAAATGAAAGATGAGTTAAGTCATTTCTGTCACTGCCTGCAATCCAGGGCTGCATGACCTTTCACATAGGACAGCAGGGCTGATGTCAGCAGCTTCTGCAGGTGTTGGGGTCTGTAGTGTTTCTGATGGGCGCACACAGACGAGGTGATGATTCTGAGCATCATTTCTGCAGCCAGTTGTGGGGGAAACAGCCAGTGTGGAATGACCCCTGCGCTGTCAAACCAGGCTGATCAGAATATTAAAAACCAACAATCCCTCTGCCCAGGCTCCTGCTCCCAGAGAGGTCAGGCCCCTGTACCAACAAGGGTGTGAAGTGGCCCACACGCTGGCTCCAGACTCAAACCCATCTCTGCTGCTTCCGAGGCAGGTGACTGGGACCAGGTGATCACTCGAAGCCTCAGTTTCTTGCTCTGCAAGGTGGATTGCTGTTGGGATAAGCAGGTATCTGTCCTATCCCTGTATGTCGAGTGCCAAGTGTGTGGCAGTTTGGACCTCACATGGTGACTGTTAGGACCCCACGGTCCCCACGCATCCAGTGCCCCCACCGGATGGCTCATAAGCCGGTGACTGCATTTCTGAGGTAAGGGGAAGAGTGGCTTCCCCCACCTCAGACTTGGGGATTTTGGCGCACGAGCTGCCTGGTGGCTGGGTCTGCACAGCCATGGTTAGTCCCTCCTCACTCCTTGTTTTAGACACTCTGTCCACCAGCTATGATGCCCACTAAGGGGGAGGAAAGGGGATCACCCGGGTGGGAGAACAGAGCCCCCTAAGGCCACTGCATCTGAGCATTCAACCCCAGGAGTGGCTTTCAGTGGGAGTGCATGGGGTAGGGATATCCAGGCAACAGACAGACACCGGGGCCCTTGTGGTGTGAGGAGCCTCAATCGTCTATGTGTTGGGTGTCTCAAGGAAGTGAGTCTGCCTCACCCATGCTGACATCTGCGGGGCTCAAAGCAGCACCTCATGCCCTGTGCAGGAGTGGTAGGAGCCTGGGGGGCCAGGACAGAGTGAGGCCCCAGGGTCTTTCTGGACTTGCAGGTGGCCAGGGCAGAGAGTGCAAGCTTGGGCAGAGAACACAACATACTTCCTGGTGAAGGTTGAGTGCAGAGTGCTGTAGGCCCAGGGGCTGGCTGTGTTGGAAGGTGAAGCTTTTACCAGGAAGAACAGAGGATGATAGCTGTAAAGCAGCAGTCTGGCGAGAGCATCTCCAGCTCCTAGACCCCTGGGGTTTCAGCCACCTTAGGAGAAAAGGGGCCTCTCTTGCAGTCCCAACCACTCGGGCACCTGCCTTCCTCTTGACCTCCATCCTTGCTCCCTGTGTGAGCCATAGCTCACTTCAGTTCTTCAAGGGGCCTGTCCACCTCCTGGGCCTCTCTCCTGCATGCAGGGGCGGTCAGTAAGAGACCTGCCTGGGATGACTTTCCTGGGACTTTTGGGTACAGCAATGACTGAGAGTGGCACTGTTCTCTGGTAATTGGCAGCATCCACTAGTTGAGTGCCTCAAATGACTCAGACTTTCTCCACTTGTGAGGTTAGGCAGGAAATGAGAGAATTTTCTCTAAGTGACAATAATCATGAACAATAATAGCAACTGACAAACGATTACTTGTGAAGTGTTACACTAGCCATCTTTACGTGTGCCTGACGGCTCATTGTGTGTATCTACCAGACTCTACCTAGACAACTGGTCAAGCCTTACCCTAGGCCTGTCTACAAGACTGTTCAGGGATGAGGCTGACGTTTGAACTCATTGTCTGAGTATTAAATATCATGTCCCTGAAGATTGGTGGACCTCACTCAGTCAGTGGGGTGGGGGGACCTACATCAACAAAAAGCTGAACCAACCTCCACGAAAAAAGTAACTAAGACACAGCTCTTCTTGCTGACTGCTTTGAGCCTGGACTACAGCATCTAGCATCAAGATTCTCCTAGTTCCCAGGCCTTCGGGTTGGGACTGGAGCTGTACTCACCACTCTCCTAAGTGTCCAGCTTGCCAATGACCGATCTTGGAACTTATCAGTATTCATAATAACATGGGCCAGGTCCATTTCTGTCATCTATCTATCTATCTATCTATCTATCTATCTATCTATCTATCTATCTATCATCTGTTATCTCTCTCTCTCTCTCTCTCTCTCTCTCTCTCTCTCTCTCTCTCTCTCTCTGTCTACCTGTCTACCATCTGTCATCTGTCTGTCTGCCTGCCTGCCTAGCTACACACCTATCAGATGGCTCTGCCTCTCAGGACACCCCTAAAGCCCTTGGCCTCATCTTGCTCTCACTACAATGCTGTGAGACAGGAACTGCTGTTGTGTTCTCTCTCCATTTTACAGATGCTGAATCTGGCTCAGGAATGCTAGGTGGTCTTCCTGATGTCACACGTGGTCTGACACTCAAAGCTGGGAACAACCCTGAGTTCCCCTCCCATGGGCCTCCTACATGCCCAGTGGCTGCTCCAAGGCCCGTTTATAAGAAGGGTTAACTCAGCAGCCAGTCGACTGGGCTAGAGTCTCTCAAGCTGGCTGCTTGGGATGACCTTGACGGGAGACGTGAAAACTTTGACTGAGCCCTCTTTCAGATTCGAGAGAATCTGAACCCTGTGGGGTCTGGGCATAAAGGTCTTCCACAATTATCTCAAGGTAGTACAGGACAGCTGAGGTGGGCAGGAAGGATTCTGGAAACTGTGTGTCTGAGGGCAGAGGTCATTCACACTGATCTCCCCCCACCCCATTCCTGGAGGCCAGCAGATCCAGGAAGAACGGCTTTCACCTCACCCTCGCCACTGCTCTGCCTTCTCTAGCTGTGCAGGCACTGATTGCCACACCCCTCCCACAGCCAGGCAAACTAGCACAGCCTCTATGCCCAGGGGAAAAGGGACCAAAACCTTTTTTCTTTATTTTAATTGGGTCAAGAGAAAAACAGAATTATAAAAAAATGCAAGTCATGGTGAGAGCTGCTGTCACGGCTCAGGTGTCAGCTCTGTGCTGCATTCCTCAGGAGAGCACCAGTCTTTAAGCGGCTAGGGTGCCAGTGACAGGCAGTGCATCCTCCAACATGCTTGTTCTGCACTGGCTCCTTTTAGGCATCACTGCACCCTGCTTCCTGACACCTATGACAAGAGGCTGAGCTCAGGATAAAAGGGGTCCTCCCAGGGACTCAGATGACCCAAGACCTGCAGGTCAGGGCATGTCTTTCTGTCAGTACTGGTGGCACTAGGAGCTTGGTCCTTCTGCATGCAGCCTCTGAAAAGTCAGGAGAGGATGTCCCACATGCCTAGCCTGCATATGATGCATATGTCATTGACCCCTGGAGCTGGGATAGGGCCTTGTGAATGCTCCAGGGATCCTTGAGGTACCAGACTCTGAAGGTTCAGCTTTACCACCCAGATACTATCCATTTACTGCTTTGTCTGAGTCTTTCTGAGGCCATTCCCACATGCAGGCATAGACCCAGGTATCATGGAAAAGTAAGCCTGGGTGGTAGGTATAGAGCAAGAGGCTTGCAGGGTCACATACCATGTTTCATGTTAAACAATAGTCACTGTCCTGTGCCTCACAAAGTCTTGAGCCTTGG